GGCTAATTTTTTTGACTTATTGTAGAGATGAGGTCTCGCCAAGTTGCCCAGGTGGGTCTCAAACCCACGGGCTCAGGCAATCCACTCACCTCAGCCTCCCAAAGCATGGGATTACAGGCTGAGCCACCGAGCCCGGCTAACTTAACTATTTTTAAGTGTACAGTTCAGTAGTATTAAGTACTGTTGTGAAGCAGATCTCCAAAACTTTTTGTCTTACAAAACTGAAACTCTGAACCCATTTAAAAAACTCCCTTTCCTTCGTCCTCCTCTCAGCCCCTGCTAACCAACATTCTACTTTGACTTTTGACATCTCATTTAGGTGGAATCATACAGTATTTGTCTTTTATTTCACTTAGCATAATGTCCTCAAAGTTTATCCATGTTGTACCATGTAACAGCATTTTTTTCCTTTATACAGGCCAAATAACACTTTATTGTTTGTATAACATATTTCGTTCATCCATTCTTCTGTCACTGGACATTTGTGTGGCTTCCACCTCTTAGTTGTTGTGAATAGTGCTGCTGTTTATATAGATGTGCAAATATCTCTTCTTTCCATTTTTCTGGATATATGAGTATACCCAGAATTGAGACTGTCGTATGGTAGTTCAATTTAATTTTTGAGGAACCTCCATATTGTCTTCCATAGTGGTTTCACCATTTTACAATCCCAGCAATGCACAAGAGTTCCAGTTTCAAAGTGATATTTCATCTTGCATTTATTTGGCGATTAATGACACTGCATACTTGTTCACATTTTTTTTGTTTTTTCATTTAGATCTCCATTTTTATAAGGTGTCTGTTTCTGGTCTTCTGCTAATTTTTAATTGGCTTGTGTGGAAGAGTTTGTCATGTATTCTAGATATGAGCTCTTTATTGGTTAAATTTGTTTCAAATACCTTCTACTCTATGTTCCTGTTAGTTTATTAATGGGGTAATCTGATTAATAGAACTTTATGTTTTCTAATGTAGTTCAATATATCAATCTTCCCTTCATGGTCAGTATGTATGTGCACTTCTTATCTAAGAACTCTTAGCTACTGTAAGACCGTGAAAATACATTTCTTTCTAGATGAATTATTCTTTTACCTTTTACACTTAGATCTATAGCCCACTTAGAATTGATGTTTGTGGATGAGTAGGACATAAAATTCCATTGTTTTCCACATGAATATCCAACTGATCCAACATCATTCACTGCAAAGATCAACTTCTCAGTTCCATCTTCATCATAAATGAAGAGTCCATAGATATGTGGGCCTGTTATCAGACCCTTTATACTGTCTTGTTGACTTATGTCTACCATTGTGCTCAAACCATAGTCATAACTATTATAGCTTTACAGTAAGTCCTTTTTCTTTTTTGAAACAGGGTCTCACTATGTTGCCCATGCTGGCCTCCAACTCCTGGACTCAAGGGATTCTCCTGCTTCAGTCTCCTGAAAAGCTGAGACTACAGGTATGTACCAACACACCCAGCTTACAATAAGCCTTAATATTTAGTGTATGCCTTCCCACTTCAAGATTGTTTTGACAGTCTCTTACCCTGATACTTTACATTTCCATATAATAATGAGGAATGTTTATCTCCATGAAAAAAATTACAGGGGTTCTGACTGGGAATGCATGGAATCTACAGATCAATTTGGGAAGAAGTGACATTTTTACAACACTGAGTTTTTCAATCTGTGAACATACAACTTCTCTCCATTCATTCAGATACAGAATCCTTGGTTTTTAAAGTCCTTTTGGGTTTTATTCTCTCCCTTGCTCTCTTCTTCAGGACCTAATACAAGGATCAGGGCCCCTTCTTCCTCACCTGACTTGGGGTCACCAGGCTTTCCATTGGCCATTGGGGGAGGGCCCAGAAGACTGGGTGGTCCTAAGAGCAGACATAAAAATATGGTCATCAGAATGGATTAAAGGACTGATGATCTTGTTCTTAGGCGTTCTTCTATTATTCATTTCTTAATTCAGCCACTAAAGTCAGACATACAAGTATTCTCAGCACTGTTACAAGTTCTCACCCCACCTGCCATTTTTCTGCAAAGCTGTTTCAGGGTTTGCAAAAAGTAGAGACTTTTTGAGAGGGAGTTAAAGGGGATAATGAGGAAGGATATTGACATTTTCTTTTCCTAACAGTACTGCTATCTAAAACATCCCAAGTGTTTCCAGAGGGAAAACAATCCCTCACCTCAACTCCTGGCCAATCAGATAGTTCTCCCCCCCCCCGAGGGACTACCTTAGAGAAAGCTGCACTTCCACCTTCCCTGCGTAACTGTGGTCACAAATTGTCATCTGTCATAGCAATCTGCAATATCTCTACTGCCCCTCTCCCCCCTACCGTTCGCGGCTGCGCCCACAAGCTCTTTATTCTCTCTTCCCCCACCTTTATAGAAAGGTCTGGGGTCCAGATTGAGGTTGATGGCTCAAGTAAGAGAACTCTTCGTTCAAGGCTTCATTCGGGACAGTCTCCCCTCCATCCCATCCCAGCGCGTGCGCCCTTCCTCCTTCCGTTAGAGCCCCTTCCTCCGCATCTGATCTGCTACCCTCGCCCGGTATGGCTGACAGGCATGTACACATCCCTCCCTGACCCCTCACCGATGGGATTCTCATCCTCCTCATCTCCAGTCTCTCCCCGCTCGGGTAGCGGGGGCTGCTGCGGCGGCAGCGGCTGGTGCTGATTCTGCTTCTTTCGTTTCGGCATCGTGGCTGCGGCAATGGCTGCAGCGGGATTTGGAGGGCAGTGAGGAAGGGGCACACTGGGATTCTGTTTCCGCTTCCGGGGGGGCGGTGGGCAGCCAGGCTGAGGCTCCCGCCATTCCACTTCCGGAAGGCTGTGGGAATCTCCTCCGCGGCGGCCGCATTCTCAAGTCAACTGCCTCACTCCGTCTGCCAGGCATGGCGGCAACCTCAAACCTTCCTTTTGCCGCGTTTCCATAAAAGCTTTAAAAATATATTCCTCTCTTCTCTCCTCGCTGGAAAACACCACAGCCAACTCTTCACAGTGTGCCGGAGTCAACTGGCTCTTGGACCAGAAGGCCTGAGAAGAGAGGACTGTCGCACCTTAAGATCGCCACATCCGGTCCCCGGTTACTATGGTAACAGCTGCAGGCACAACTTCGTGCCCTCTGACCTCCCTCCAAAAGTCCTTGTCCCACCTGGGTTTCCCTTTTCGCTCGCTCTTGCATTTATGATCTGTAGATCTCCTTGTCGTCGTTCCCACAAGGATTTTGGGTTCCAGCGGGTCGGCGCCCAGAACTCACCAGACCGCCACTCGCCCCTCAAGACCTCTCTGACCGTGCCCCCAGTGTAATCCAGCAATTTGGCTTCATTCCCGGGACGCACAGTTTCGACTTCCCCCTAAGGCCAAGCCTCTGAGTAGGTAGTGTAGCCTCAACGGGTCCAAGCCCCCTAGTCTCTAGGTAGTAGGACCCGCCCTCCGCTCCACCGCCCCCTCCAGGTGAGTGGTAGCGTCTCCCGGGAGCGCAAGGTGGTGATGACACGCGTCCCCCCTCCTCCGAACGCGAGTTGGTAGCGTCCGTGACGGAGTTTGTCCGATCCTCCCACGCGCGCCTCTTTCCTCGCAGCCGGGGCGCCCTCTCGGTGCCTCTGGCTCTCATGTGCCAGTAGCCCACCCCGCATCACCCCCTCGCCTCGCTCCCAGAGGGAAGTGACTGTGTTTCCCCTGAGCGTCTTCCATCGCGACCGCCGCGGCCATTCGGTCGGGCCCGCCCGCTGACGTCACCTGTAGCCCCGCCTCCTCTAGGGTCCCGGGCCCTTGCGGCGGGGGCTGCCCCGGGGCGAGTCAGTTGAGGCGGTGGGAGCCCGGCAGAGAGAGGGCCAGGTGACTGGTCCGGGCCATGCCGAGGAAGAAGCCCTTTAGCGTGAAGCAGAAGAAGAAGCAGTTGCAGGACAAGCGGGAGCGGAAGAGAGGTCAGTGCGGGAGCGGGAGGAGGGGGCGGGGCTCGGGCTCCCGCACATCTGGAAGGAGGGGTGTGCCCGTCGCACCTCTAGGGGGCGTGGGAGGGGGTGGTAGGCGGGTGCTGACCCTCGCGGGCTCTCGCGGGGGGATTCCCCTGCCTTATTCCCTCTACGTCTGGAAGGGGTGGGGAAGGATGGAGAGTTGGGGGAGGGGAAATCTCTCCAGCTCCAACGAAGTGCCATCCCCCTCAGCTCCTTGGAGGAGTGACTCCCCCACGCACATCCGGGAGGGTCCTGGGAAGGGTAGCTGGGAGGACGGCGCCTCGAAAGAACTTGGATGAGGTTAAAGGGAGCCGAACCGATCGGGGAGAGGGTCCTGAGAGCCTGGCCAGCACTGGCGTCACCGGCCCCTCCCCGCAGGACTTCAAGATGGGCTACGCTCCAGTTCCAACAGCCGCAGCGGGAGCCGGGAGCGGCGGGAGGAGCAGACCGACACCTCCGATGGGGAATCTGTGACCCATCATATCCGCAGGCTCAACCAGCAGCCTTCTCAGGGGCTGGGTCCACGAGGCTATGACCCAAATCGGTGAGGGTGGGAGGGGGCGCTGGTCCTGGCTTCCCTGCCTACCCGGAAGCCAGAGCTTTGGGGAGATAGTGGGTTGCTGCAGGTGGAGGCTTCAAAGTGAAGCGGTGGGGCTGGGATGCCACAGTTCTCTGCGGGCCACTGACATCCCCAGAGCAGTCCACAAACTTTCCTTCTAGAGGGGCCGAAGAGAGTTTGGCTTTTATAAGGGAGAGACTGAATATTGCATGAAAGAGGGACTGGGGGAGACACTGACTAAGAGAGGAGACTCGAACAACTCTGAGAGAAAGCTTTGAGAAGTTGTCTGTCCAAGAGGGGAGAAGAAGGGAATTTGTGGCCATAGGATTGTGCTAGATGTTGTGGTCCCTGTTCCTTTAGATACCGGTTACATTTTGAACGGGACAGCAGGGAGGAGGTAGAGCGGAGAAAGAGAGCAGCCCGGGAGCAAGTGCTACATCCAGTCAGTGCTGAGGTGCTGGAGCTGGACATCCGAGAGGTCTATCAGCCTGGATCAGGTGAGTGAGAGCAAGACAGGCATTGGACTGGGGAAAGGAGTTTGGATGTGTAAAAGCTCACTGTGAGGAAGGAGGGGTCTAGGATGTACACTTGAATCCTGAAGATATTCTCGCATCTACTTGGCCTTTTTCCTGATTTCCCAGTTCTGGACTTTCCCCGGCGTCCTCCTTGGAGCTATGAGATGTCCAAGGAACAGCTAATGAGCCAGGAGGAACGAAGCTTCCAGGAGTATCTTGGGAAGATTCATGGGGCTTACTCCTCTGAGAAACTCAGCTACTTTGAGCACAATCTGGAGGTAACAGTGGAGTGGGGACAGGAGAGGTTGTAGTGACCCATGGTAAATAGGTCTGGGGTCAGGCTGGAGAGAGACCCTGGGCTCAGGTTCTCTTGCACTGATCTATCTTTTCAGACATGGAGGCAGCTGTGGCGAGTGTTAGAGATGTCTGACGTTGTTCTCCTTATCACTGATATCCGACATCCAGTGAGTACTGAAGATGAGGGCAGACAAGGGGGAGGAGAGAGGAAGGTTCTTGTAGGGTAAAGGTCAGAGGCAAGAGTTCAGAGACAGAGAGGTGTACTCCTTCCTGTCCTTCCAACCTCTACCCTGTGCTGATGTCTGCAACGAAGAACTCAATTTTTAATCATCTCTTGTTATAACCTGTCACCCTTCCCTTGGCCAGCTGATGTTCCTCTTCTTTACCGTCTTTAATGAAAAATTTCATGTCCTGTTTTTCAGCACACCAGAGCTAGATCAATACAGAATCCCAGTATGGATCTCCAGGGATTCTATGCAGGCAGCTGGGGCTTCCCCCTGCCCATCCCAAAGATGCCCTTTCTTCCTTATTTTTTTTAGCTCCGCCACATCAGTCGCTACAGAACCCACCTGGAATGCTAGGGTAGTGATTAAGGCTGTAGACCCTGCTGCTGGACTGCCCTGTGTGAATCCTGGCTCTGCCACTTCACTGTTGTCCTCCAGTGGGAGAAAGGGAGGTCTGTGGGGATATTTAGGTTGGAGGTCCTTAACAATATGTACACACACATACTCACAAATATGTATGTGTGCATGTGCACATCTGTATATACAGGCATGTTCACATACACGCTTATAGTCTCACATGCTGCACACATAAACTTGCACACATGTGCACGTACTTGTATGCATGCACATATGCATGTGTACATACTTAGTTGTGTGCACATGAAAACAGATAGTGATTTCTACTCTATTTCCCATCCCTGTTCCTGCTCCCATCCTTTACCTCAGTGCACTATCACTGTATCCTTGTCTTGTTTTTGATTCATTTCCATCTCTAATCGTGACCTGTAGTAAGCCTCCTGAGACTCACACACAAGTATTACTAGCCCCTGCTTTGTCTTCCTTGTTCAGTTTGGCTGGTTTACCATTTTCAGCCCAGAATCTGCTACTGCTAGGGTCTTATCTCTGATCTGTGCCTGCTGACCAGGAAGCTGGTGGCAGGAAACGCAGGGTTGATTTCTCACTGCTTCATCCCTATCCCAGGTTGTGAACTTCCCACCAGCACTTTATGAGTATGTGACTGGAGAACTTGGGCTGGCCCTGGTGCTGGTTCTGAACAAGGTGGACCTGGCCCCGCCGGCTCTTGTGGTTGCCTGGAAGCATTATTTCCACCAACACTATCCCCAGCTCCACATTGTCCTTTTCACCTCTTTCCCTCGGGACCCCCGCACCCCACAGGACCCTAGTAGTGGTGAGTGGATGATGAGGAGGATGACATGGGAGAGGTGAAGTGGCAGGGGTAAAAGGGAAAAACAGAGGCTTGTTGACAAGGGAGTACCTGATCTTGGGCCTAAGGGTGGTGGGAGAGATGGAATGCATAAGTACATGTGCAAACCCTTTTGTACTCTCTGATCTCAGTCTTGAAGAAGAGTCGGAGGCGGGGGAGAGGCTGGACTCGGGCCCTGGGGCCAGAGCAGTTGCTGAGAGCCTGTGAAGCCATCACTGTGGGGAAAGGTATGTGACCCTTTAGAGAAGGGCTATGGGAAGCTATGGGGGAGACCC